CGCACACATACACGCACACGCACATACACGCACGCGCACATACACGCACGCACACACACACACATACACGCACACGCACATACACGTACACGCACATACACGCACACATACACGCACACGCACATACACACACGCACACATACACACCCGCACACACACACGCACGCGCACATACACGCACGCACACATACACGCACACGCACATACACGCACGCACACATACACGCACATACACGCTCACACACATACACGCACGCACACATACACGCACGCACATACACGCACGCACACATACACGCACATACACGCTCGATCACACAGTACACGGCATTACGCACATACACGCCACGCACACATACAGGTCAATACACACACACACACACACACACACACACACACACACACACACACGCACACACTCACGCACGCACGCACGCACACACGCACGCACGCAAGCACGCACGAACACTCACGCCCATGCATGCTGTCTAATATCTAACAGTCACACAACACCAAGATCATATAAACCTCTAATATAACGGTTCATATGCTCTTGATAACGTATATTTCGTACGTACTCACAATTAAGTACGATATATAACTACGTATAGGCAATATAAGTTAGTATCACACGCTAACGTAAGCTGGCTGCTTCACTATCAAACGCATAGACATTCCAGCAACATTTCATCGTACCAGATGGACGAAATCCCATTATCGATGAAACCCCAGCAAAAATGAAGCCTACGGTATGTGAGACACGTGTGCGTTTATTATCTCCAGCTTCTTCGCATCATATTATCTCCAGCCTCCGCATCTTTCTATCACACGGTCGAGGCAATTATTCCTCCCCCCCCCACCCACCAACTAATTTATATCGCCAGTAATTTAACGACATCTCCACGGCGTCTAATTAAACTACGCATCTGCGTTATCAACCTGTAGCTGCCGTAAATCATTAGTCATTAGTCATTAGTCATTAGTCATTAGTAGTGCCCGCCAGTCGGCAGCACCGTCGTTTGACCCCGCGCGAACACTTGCAAGTTATTCTGCCTGACGCCGGGTCGAATAGGGGTCACTATAGGTGGCCAAATAGGTTGGTCACACCATCAAAAATGTATAGATGTAAGAGGTATTTTGCGACAGTAGAGGGCGTCTACATTGAAGCAGGCGTAAATAAACATGACACCAAAATTTTGTTTTTATATACGCGACAGCCACCAATCTTTGCATGTTTCTGTTCATGTTTCTGTTGCAACTTTTCATGTTTCTGTGCATGCGTGCGCGTGTGTCTGTGTGTGTGTGTACGTGCGTGCGTGTCTGTGTCCGTGTCTGCGTCGGTGCTATTGCATTAGTCTTCCCACCTGGCGGCGCTATAAGACGCTCCATACGACATTATATCTCAATTTCGTTGAAATTATCATCGATTCTAATAGGATAATGAGAATTTCAGCGGCTATAATTGTCATCATCTGCCGTGGACGTGATTATCTATTCAGAAGATCTATTCCTACTTCAGCGAATCCGACGTGTTTTTTTTTACAGGGGGAGCGACGTGCGCCTATTTATCTAGTGCAGGTCCCGCTAGGGGGTTCAGAGAATGGTGACTGTGTGTGGGGGGGGGTGCGTGTGCGTGTGCGTGTGCGTGTGCGTGTGCGTGCATGCGTGCGTGCGCGCGTGTGTATGCGCGTGTTTGTGTCAGTATGTGCGTGGGTGTGTTTGTGTCAGTATATGTGCGTGCATATACGCGTGTTTGTGTCAGTATATGTGCGTGCATATACGCGTGTTTGTGTCAGTATATGTGCGTGCATATACGCGTGTTTGTGTCAGTATATGAGCGTGCATAATA